TTTTAAATATATGTAAACGCAAAGATTGTTTCTATAAAACTAACTTGATTATATAATTTTTGCATCCGTTACTTAACTTTAACATTAAATTCTATATTCAGATCTAAAAATGTATATATTAGATACCGCATTGGGTAATCTAAGAAAAAAATTAAACTGTTATGATTTTTTTTTCTAAAATCGCATATTAACCACAAAAAAATCAAATTAAATTACTAATACTCTAAACTATGCGTTTCTTTAACTGTAAATGTAACCACAATGGAAATAACTGAATAGAATAATGAATGAACAAGTAAGGATGTACATTGTACGCAGCATCTCCGCGTTACATAAGCCGCGAGATGTAAACAGGTTTCACCGTGTTCCGTTCTTGTGTAATCTCTTATCGAATCATGTAAGTTTTGTTCAAATTATATCACATTAGACATATTATAAAGTAAATTTATATTTTTAGGTACTTGTCATGAAATTTTAATTGACTTTAATTTTAAAACGGCGGAACTGCTATGTAATTAACAAAAATTGTTGCAGTTGTTAAGCAATTCGTTAATTTATGATATATTGAGAAATCGTTTCTTTCTACCTTAAGTTAGTCGTTTTTAATGATATTTTGAGCTAAAGCATGTTTTAAAATAAAAATAATTTGACAGCTACTTGAAATTATTTAATTGAAAATATTCGTACCGATTAAAGAACAGAAATTAAAATTCTTTATTAAAACTTCTAACGTAACTATCTACGTATATTATAGTATTCTTTATAAATACATACTTAATAGTGATTTTCTGAGCAAATTTTCACTTAAATTTTAAATACATTACGGAATCTTTATTAAATTTAAATATTTTATGTAATAAATATGAATAATAATAAATATAATAAATAAGACATTTTTTGTTTACTTTATTGTAGTGCGACTCTAATGAAATCTAACAACTATAATTAAATATAATATCTTGCATCAACGCATATAGTTAATATAAAAGATTTTTTAATAATAATATCTGACAATGTAAAAAACGTAATTAAAGTTACTCAATTACATATTATAATGTATTTAACAAACCATTATTGCCATATCAATAATATCTTTAAAAAGTATAATTGAGATATGACATAGTAAAAAGTAAAAAAGGTATTAGACAGACAGTGGGACAGTTTCATTATATAAATTTTTAATTGATATAAAGTATCTAATAGAGTGATCTAAGCTGACAACATTACACCGCAACGTTGGCTACAAGCCAAGGCTGACCACCGTGGTACTACTTTCGCTCGCTAGCCGCTCCACATGTATGGAGTGCTAAAATAACGCTGAAATTTAATATTAAAGTTACGTTTTGTCCACTTCTAATGGACTGCCCGATAAGTTTTTTATAGCATTTTAAAATTATAATTATGATTTATGCAAAATTTAATAGAGTCCAGTACAAATCACCTTATGCAAATTTAGATTATATAATTTAACAGAACACATTATATTACACAAACTATTATTGTTTTGTAACATTTAGCACGAATATAACAAAATATTATTAAAAAAAAACTTAGATATAAATATAAACTGTAAGTCATAAAAACAATACAATTCATTTCTAGAAGAAGTTACTATTAAAAATAGTATTATAATTATACTCATTTAGGAATTTAGTATTTTCAATATTGTATTATTGGAATGGTGTAACAATAGATTTTAAATTACAGCAGCATTTAATACGTCAAATACCTGATAGGACAAGTGAATACAAAACTCAGTATAGCAAGGTCGCGGAAATTAATTATTGCCATAATAATGTCAATTATCGGTGCATATCACTCAAAATTAGCAGTTAATGAAATAATATTATTACATTTGTAACGCTGTTACAGAGATTTTCCTTACAGAAAACTCAATAACTAAACTCGGGACTCGAACCCAGAACCTCAAATTCAAATTAAAAAACTCAAAAAATAACAAAAATTTGAGGAGTGGCTAGTGCCTAGAGATAATATTATTAAGTAGGCCATGTTACTTCATAATTTCTTATTATGAGTGCACCATTGTGGGATATTTGTTTGACTGGTAATGCATAATCTCTCCGCAAAGTCATACAATTACGTATTACGTTAAAACCAAATGACAAATAATTATTTTTGCTTCGCCATTAGAGAAAATGCGTGCACCTCAACAATACATTACGCATATAATACTAAAATAGTATGTTACTTAATAGATCCAAATATCTGTCTAAGTAAGAATGAAAGTAAAAGTGAGCGATGTGTCGGCCGATACAAATATAGATATCGTGACGACGCTGTTGTGCCCACGAGAATAAACACGAACTCTCCACAGTCTGACATAAAAGTGTATTATATAAATTTATAATTATTACGTATTTACCTTTGTTTCGCTCGAGTGTTTCTAAGTGCCTAATAACAATAACCATTCATTTTTCAATTTTTGAATTCATTTTGTTATTTGTGGGTAGGCTGTCTGTAACAACTATATAATACCTTAGAGACATCTAACACCTCAGTCTCTCCCGTGACCATGATTGCTGTAAAGCATTCGAAAAATCAAAATAAATTCGCGAAAAAATCCGAAAAGATAGTTTTATTTAAAATGTCAAGTATTCGCGTAAATCTAAGAAAGTATTAAATAACCATTCGGTTATTTTAGGTCATAAGTAAGTACTAAATTTTATCTAAATCTGCCCAGACATTTCTACGTGGAACAGTAACAACAAGTATATGTATACATAAAAATTCGAAACGTACACATAAAAAATTTCTTTTTTTTTTGTATTGAACTCAATATTGATTGACATATTTCTACTATTATTCTTATTAGCTGTCTTCATACTTGCTTCTCTGAATGTTATTACAATACCTTGGTTTAAAAAAATCGCTGCCATTAAAAATTACTTGTTTACTAATAATATACATTTAATAGTAATTCTATAATTTATTACTTAGTAATACAGAAAATTGCTATTTAATGTATATTAGTAAAAAGAAAATGTAAATGGTGACTATTATAAGTATAATAGTCACTTGTTCAAAGAACTGTACAGCAAACAATGTTTATTTATGCTATTACACTTAATGGATTGATTGTAATAATACCATCTGTTTAAGGATTTGATTTACTGGTACATGTAATAGAGGAATATCCTTGAAAGTACAATTATTATCCAATTAGAAATATGAAATCTATCGTATACCAATTATTTTTATTATAAATAACCGATGTTCAGAGTATTATAAAGTTCCCTCAGTGCAATATTCTTTATTAGAACTATACTTGTGTTTTTTTTTATATTTTTATTTCATGTATTTATAACTAGTAGAACCCGCGGTTTCGCTCGCGCTAAAGCTACAAAAGAGTCTCTAAAAAGGTAGTTTCATAGAAACTTTCATACCTTATTTTAACCTCTTATAGGATGAATTTCGAAAAATGCTAAAACACGTATTTATTTAATTTTATTTAAGACCATTTTTTGGCTAGTTTGTAGTGATCCTACTTACTGTACCAGGGGTCGTGGGTTCAAGTCCCGCTGGGAGCATTAATTTGTGTGATGAGCACGAATGTATGGAATCCAGTCATGGGTTTTTATATTTATAATATGTATGTATTTAAAGTTATATATATATATGTAGCGTATCAACTATCTGGTATCCATAACACAAGCCTCGTACTAACTAGATGGTGCTGTGTATTAATGTCTCAACATATTTATTTATTAACATTTTGTAATGTTTTTTAATTTTTTAAATATAAGTGGCATAAATAGTAAATAAATAATACAACAATAATGTCGTACACTCAATAAGAGAGCTAAAATAAACACGTACATGTATGTTAGTAATCAATCAAACCTGACCTCACGCTAAAGAAATCAAGCGTAGTTAATTGTCTAATGTTTCAATAATAATTAACAACAAACGACCTTACGTCAGGGTTGCGCAATGGTCACGCTCGTGAGCTTAACCCGTGGCTACAGTGAAAGTATGACAACCCTTAACCTGTACTTTGATTGTATTTGCTATATAATAATTACCTATTTTCTAATCCATACTAATATTATAAATGTGAAAGTGTGTTTGTTTGTTTGTCCTTCTTTCACGTCGAAACGACTTGGTGGATTGGCGTGATTTTTTGTGTGGAGAGTGTTGGAGGACTGGGGAGTGACATAGGCTACTTTTTACCGCAGGCGATTATCTCATTCAACCCAAAAAAAACATTTATGATCAGAATTACTTGAAACTTGGTATTAATGCTATTCAATAGAATTAAATAAATATGTTTTTTAGCATTTTTCGAAATTCATCCCATAAGGGGATAAAATAGGGGATGAAAGTTTGTATGTAAACTAACTTTATAGAGTTTTTTTTAGTTTTAGCGCGAGCGTATCGCGGTTTCTACTGGTCTATATATAAATAGGCAAAGAAAAAACTGTTTAGTACCTTTTTCTCCTGTATTTGACGACCGATTTTCTTTTTCTTTTCTTTAGTAGCTATTGACGAGCTTTAATGTTATCAATAAGAAATTATGGAAACAGTTTTTTTATATAAATATATATGGTTATAATTATGGCCAAATATCCACCACAGGATGAACTCTAGTAATAATAATACATCAGGAACGATATTAGGAGTGGACCGCCTTGATTGAATACTCCTCTTTTTCGAAGTCTGTCGATAGGTGAAAGAAGTTTTGTGAGTTCTATAGAACGATACAAACATATATAACATACAATTGTATAATGTGATCGTCTGTAGATTGTTTCAATTATGGAAAAAGAATCATACAATATCATCATCATCAAAGTCTAATATTATGAAAAAAGTATAAAAAACTATATTTTCGATGAATTTGAGTCACTCTTTCCTCTCAAGATTAAGGCAAGCAGCTATTTTGCGAGTAAGATAATATAATATTCCAATGCTAAATAAAGACTTGTCATTATAACCAAATTAAACTCAGGATCTTTTCTAACATTTATGTTTACTTTCAGCTCAGGCGGGCATTCTTCTCGAGCATGCGCCAGCTTGTCCTGAACAATATGGAGTTCAGGTAAGAGATACATCTTTTTATATTTTACATGTACATATATAAAAAATATTTATGTACTACTTGTCTATACATATAATAAAATTCTAACGGAGTCGAAATCTGTACATTAAATATTTTTTGGAAAATCTTATTGAAATAGTCATCATTATCGATAGGGGCCGAATCTATAGTTTTTAGAATTTTTTGTCTGTCTGTCTATCTGTCTGTGACCAAATCATGGAAAACCCACTGGAGGGGAAAATTTGGTATGATGATAGCTGGTTATCCGGGTCAACATATAAGATACTTTTTACTGCAGGAAAATATCTCATCTCTGAGAAATCTATACTAAACGTTAAAACATAACAACACGTGAATAACCTTTGAAACTGCTCAACTGATTTTAATAACACGTCGTCTCAGTGCTTATTTGTTCAAACAACCAATAGACTAAAAGAGATTTTAATTCAGAATTGTTGACTTTTAAATGTCAATTCTATTGGTATCACATACACATTTTACAGGACTGGTAGTGTAGGACTCTTTGTTCGAAACTTGATAATACATAATATATCTACAAGTATACACCCACTTAATTCATATAAAATTAGTGCTTACGTAATCCCTATCCGACATTATTTAAATGCATATATTATCTCTATCTAAGACAGCAAAATAAAAATGCAAACATTTTCAATTCTAGGCATACGCGCACCCGGAACTCTGCGACCAATTCTTCTTATGTACAAATGGCACGCTCACCGTTGAAACATGCGAAAACGGTCTTTTATTTGACGGCAAAGGCGCTGTGCACAATCACTGTAACTACAACTGGGCAGTAGACTGTGGGCAAAGGAAAGCTGACTGTAAGTATTAAAAAAAACTTGCTATGGGATATTTAAATATTATAAGCCTGTTTTATGATATCATTATATCAAATACGATATTATTATATAAAATTTTCAAAATATTACAAGTATATCACATCTGAAGCCGTATGTGTAAAGAGAAGAAATAATATACAAATAAATACGTTAAAAAACGAATACAATACATTAAAAGCCGTAAAGTTTAATAATTCTCTAGGATGTATTTATAAAATTTTATTTACATGTACCATTTATTTTATTCTAGTGACACCATACTCTACTCCTGGCTGTGAATACCAGTTCGGCATTTACCCAGACAGCGCTGAGTGCTCCACTAGCTACATCAAGTGCGCATTCGGAGTGCCACACCAAGAACCCTGCACACCCGGTCTCGTGTACGACGAACGCATCCACGGCTGCAACTGGCCTGATCTCCTGCAACCTTTCTGCAACCCTGAAGGTATATCCTAACTTAAGCTACTTACAAAAACTTTCACTTTACTTTATTACATTATAATTGTTTTATGAATAAATAAATATGTATGTATATGTTTCATCCCATGTATTTTAAGAAAAATACAAAAGGGACCAATTTAGTAATGCTTAGGCATAAGTGTGAGAGTAAGTAAAAACATGGTAAACTTCCCGATATACTTCATAAACATATTCAGTCAGTCAGTGACCCTGAAACCTTAAAGATTATATAAATCTTATATAAAGATTATATAAAGCTTAGGCATGCTTACAATGTGCTGTTTTTGTTGTTACAATACCGAACAGAACAACGGTTTAGTATTACCAATTCACTTAAGCAGTAATTGAATCTGCAATCTCTGTTTCCATACGTAGAATTAATCAAATCAGAGAATTATCACTATACAGACATAGGTGATGCGAAGGCACGTAAGTTAACAAAATGTTATGTTATATATTCTGACAAATTTACTTTACTCAACAGCTGTAGTCGGCTTCAAATGCCCAACCAAAGTCCCAGCTCACACTCAGTCAGCCAAATTCTGGCCATTCCCTCGATTCCCGGTGCCCGGCGACTGCCACAGACTGATCACCTGCGTAGAAGGCAATCCTCGTCTCATCACCTGTGAGGAAGGCAAAGTCTTCGATGATCAAAACCTGACCTGTGAAGACCCTGAACTGGTGCCTCACTGTGCACATGCGTAATTTATAAGTTATATTCATTATAATAAAACGAAAACGAATAGACAGTCTTTTCATCTGAGACTAAAAAAAATCAATACCCTAGATACATGAAATAATGCTAAGGTTTAGTTTTATTGATATTTGAAAAGACTAATTGTTCAACCCTTAAGTATATTTTTTAATAAATCACAGTCAATCTTAAAAATCACAATTTTTATACATTATTTGTCTTTATTGTTGTCAATAAATAATAAATAGGCTTGTGTCTCGAAATACAATTATACTCTTATTTCGTTTTCGTTTTGTGATAATCAACATATTTGGAATTGTTTTCCACTAAAAGTCTAATTTATTAAAAATTTCCTAATAAACTTCGACAAATTCCTTTAATATTAAATGATTGAACACTAATAGGTTACCGAATACTGACGAATTGCGTGATATTAGTTACCATAGATAATACCAGTACCAATAAAATCACTTTGTAATATATATATATTTTTAAATAAACACGTGTAAATAATATGCTGAAAAATGAAATGTAAATAGAAAGAGTACTATATATGTTAAATAATAAAATGTTTAAAAGAACTTAACGTATTATTTATTAACGCCAAATACTTGACTTTTAAAAGTAAATGAATCTCATCTCTTATCCTTGTTTATTTTGTTCCGGTGCTAAAATTACACATTATAATTTATGAATCTTATCTATAACAAGTGTATGTGACAACATGTAAGCACAGCCACGCTTACTCTGCATAGCTTACCTATAGTTCTAGTATACCGTATAGTATTATTATGTGGTCTGTGTCTATATTAATATTATAAAGGTGCAGAATTTGTGAACGCGCTAATCTCAGGCATCCTATTTGGAAAATGATTGTTGCATTAGATAGCCCGTTTATTGAGGAAGGCTATATATTATCATACTACTACTGAAGGGAGAGAGAAGCAGTAATATAATATTTAGTCTATCTATTCCATACGAAGCAATAAAAACGCTCCTAGGGACAAATCCGAACGAAGTATAAATATCATACTTTAATATGTCTAACTTTTTATAAAATTTGAAAAACGCTCTTAATAAATTAATATTGCCTACATCATACAGGACGAAAAATAATTCGTATCAAATTATACATCATGTATACAGGGTGGATTTTTGAGACAGGACAGTAAGGGCAGTAATTCAATGTAGGTTTGAAAAAAAATATTACAAAACCATCGCATCTACGATTAATTAATTATTCGATTGATTGATAATGTAAAGATGGAAAAAATAACTTTAATTAAGATATGAGATAGTTTCATTTAGGATAAACCAAAAAGATTAGAAATAGCATGATTTTTATCGCATACTGTAATTATTATTTTTAATAACTTCAAATAAATAATTTACTAGGCCACTTACCGTTGAAGCCACAAGCATATTTTTGTTTTTCTAACATTCTCTACATTAATATAAATATTAAAGTAGCAAAATAAAAACACATGTATCCCTTAAAAGGTATCTATCTCTTTATTCAAACATACCTTTTAAAGATTTAGGTCTTTGTATTATTCATTTCATACACAAAATTAATGTTCATATTACAAGTGTGTGAAGTATTGGCACAGAATATTGAATAGGTCCATAGTATTGGATAAACCGAATATACCAATGTAATATTTAGTTTGTACAGTGTATAAGTAAGATATTAACGTGATTTAAGTAATGTAATAAATATTTAAGTGAAAAAAGTCACGATCAATTACAAAAAAATGAAAACCTAGCACTGATTAATTTATTAGCAAAATCAAAAGAAACCCTAAATAATAAAAAATAATAAAAATAGATACATACTGTTCAAATAAAACGACATCATAATGTAAAATGATTCTTTATTATCTAAACTAAACTACTTAAATCTACTCGTCACTAATTTCTACTTCTACTTGTTTCCCTTTACTGGGGCGATTGGGCTTGCGGCGTGATGATGACCCAGCGGGTTTAGGCTTAGGGGTAGGTGGGTTCTCTAGTGCTTCCAATTCTGCGTCTGTTAACTGTCCCTTGTACCAGTCCGCACTGTAAAACGAAATAATGTTATTGAGAACGTTATTGTAAAAATAATATTCCAAAAAATCAATAAATATCTATGTAAAATTTAATAACTATTAATACCCAAAAAGTTTAAAAGTAAAATAATTGCGCCTGTGACACAAGTACGCCTATGGCATTTGATAAGCGATATTTTTCATGGTAAAATAACTGAGTATTTTCTTGCCTTCTTATTTAATCCACGACCGTGGATACGCCGGCGTTACAATTAACAATAAAATTCTTAGAAATTTAATTAATTTCTTAGAAATTTACCTGGAGGTGTTAAGCGTAAATATTTTGTAAACTTTTTTAAGCATAGTCAGGTGTCCTTGAGCGTCCTTATAAACAGATAATTATTTGGCCAATATTTCAGAAAACGATAGAAATGACAAAACATCCTTAACTTACCATTCAGTTACCTTCCTCGCCCATTCACATTTTTTGGTAACATCGTCGAAAGCTTGGCCAAGTTTGCACCCAGAGCGACGAGGCGTGACTCCGTTGATGCACACATAGAAGAACTGGCAGTCATCGGGGTCCGCGTACCGAGGGTGTGTTAGTCCGAAAGTCTCATTTACAATAGGACAGTCAAATTTGAAGACATCTGTTAAAGATGGAGGGTAGAAGGTGAAATATTTTATTTAATTATTAGTTGTTGTGCTTATGAAATAATATATTATGTAAATTAAGTAATGCTCTTAAATAGGTAATAAATCAATCATTTCTATTCGTTTGATAAGTCATTAGTATAATTAATGAATATTCCTCTTACATGTAAACTAGAACAGTGGAAGTCCTTAGTAACTTTAGCATCTTGACATTGTTACGAATACATTATACTGGTTTATGTCCATTTATAAATGCCCTCGATCAACTAGTAATGTTATTATATAAAAAGTGGTAAAATTCCAGTTGCATTAGCTGAATTATTTTATATTTTATTAAGAACTAGCAGCTTATCCTGGATTTACTCGGGTGAGTGCCTAGGTGCCTAACACTAGCCTATGTTACTGTAGATAATAAATAGTGAAGAAAAGGCTGAAATGCTTTAAGTTACGTAAATACCCCCTCTAAGTAAGATATTCCTTTTTCCCCTTTTGCAGTAGAAGTGAAGTGCTAAAACCTTCTTGTAGCATATCTCGTCATATCACCTGAACCAGTAATAAGAACGTTTGGGACTATTTTCATTCAAAGAATCATATTCACAGGAAGCACCTAGAATTCATTCCACATTTACACACGGATATAACTTGTACAGTCACTTTTAAGTTAACATATGTAGTTTCATCGTATTTTTTATCTAGAAAATAAAAATAATAATCTAAACTATATTATTAAAAAGCATTATATATGTATATCCTCGTACCAGCAGCTCCACAGCCCTTCTTCTTAGCTTCATCAGCCCAGGTGCAGATGCCACTCTTGTCGTTGTATACAAGACCATCAGGACATGTGATCATGTTGAATTTGCCATCTACACAGTAGTAGAATTTGCCGCACTCCTTTTCATCTTCGTGGGAGAAGTAACCGTTTTGACGGGGACAGTGTAGGGCTGGGATAGGTGTTTCTGGAAAATAAAAAATTAAATTTATCATCTCTTTATTAATTTAGGAATTTATAGAATATTTAATTCTATAAATTCCTAAAACTTGCTATTTAATTATATATATTGTTATCCACGTTAATTGGTTCTTTAATAAAAAATGTCAACAATTGTTTTGCAATTTTAATACACTAATATTTCTAAATGTTAAAAATTTTAAACTAATAATAAATTAATTATATATTCCTCGACAATATTGACATATTGTGCAAAATACATACATTTAATACTACATTGCCGCAATAATATCCAGTTTATCTGGCACTACTTCGTATCGAAGGGCATAAATCTGATTTCCTTATACTATACACTACAGTGAGTGTTGAATTGACTGTTATATACTTTCTAATCAAATAAAAAGGACACACCAAGCAAATCTAAACGTAAAGTTGGATACAACACCTTAAAATAATACTTTTTAACTTAAAAAGAGCTTATATTATTAAAAATTAAAAATAGCACCTTTCATCTCATTTAAAATAATTAGGTTAAATCAGAATTCGTAAAATATTCAATTTTTATAACTAAAATTTTTCTTTACATTACTAAACGCGGTAACAAAAGTTGTTACTCAATAAATTCCAACTTTGTTCCAAGGCCATAGTTCCCTTGAGATTGGAAAGTTGTTCGAACAAAGTTAACCTTTAGCACGATTATACTGATGCCACCAACCAGTCCCAAAATGGCAAACACGTGCCACCTCCACTCACGTGTACTGACCTTTATAATCTATGATTATTTAACTTTACGAACTTAGCATATTACTATTCTAAATTATATTTTCCATAGAAATATTATTTAACAAATCTATAGGTATAACTTTACGTATATGTAAATATTATGTAAATTTGTTGTTACTAATCCATAATCAAATTCTATATAATCTAATGAACTAAAAATTATACAATAATTAAAACGGGAATAAATTAGGTATAGCAAAATACGTAAACTTACGAAGTTTAGGTCTTTGAGAGCAGTCGATATTGAAGGGTAAATCACACTTCTCGTCTTGAGGGCTGTAGTCATTGAACACCATACCGTCAGGACAAAGCTTCTCAATTATTTCGCCGTTTCTGAAATTAATATGAAATAGTTGTTAAATCGTTTAATTATGACATTTTATATAATTTATTGCTTCAATAAGTGATAAAATAATATCAAAAATATTTATGAAAATTCATAATTAAACAATTCAGTTCTGAGAATAATCACACATATTTTCCTTGTTTATTATAAGATTTCCTCGTACTAATGCTTTAAAAAGCTTCCACATCGTTTTTGTACGATGATTTGATATAATTTTGAAAAAACATGACAATTTTAAAAAGTTACATTCATAATGCCCGTACGATAAAAAATACACTTATACCTTTATAAAGCAAAATAAACACCCAGTAAGCATTCAATAAGATTTATGGTTTACAAACACGAAATATTTTGTAAGATTTTCATCACTCAAGCTGTTTTAATAATGCAAATATTTGCAAACTAGTTTTTGTTCGATCATGAAATAAGTTAATATTGTTTTTATAAATCGAGAGAGGCTTTTGTAAATCACTTTAATCACCTACTATCACTACACTCTTATGCTTAAAATTGTTTAATGTTTGCCCGCACCTCTGTCTGCGTCTTTTATTTATGTAGTTTGCTAGTTGCAAAGCTAACGGTCGTATATAATGGTAATGTGCTAATCGTATAATATTTAACTTTTCTAAATAAATATTCCAAAAATGCCCAAAATCCAGAAAATATTTTCCAATCGAACTGGTAGTTCCAGATACTAGCGAAATTAAACATATTTGAAACGAACAAAAATCATTTATCTATACATACATATAATAAAATTTGAACTGAGTCGAATTAGTACATTAAATATTTTTTGGAAAATCTTATTGAAATAGTCTTTATTATCGATACATAGGGCGAATCTAATTTTTTTAGATTATTTGTCTGTCTGTCTGTCTGGGAACACATCACGAGAAAACCACTGGACTGGTTATCGGGGTCAACATATAAGATACTTTTTACTCCGTGAAAATATCTCATCTTTGAGAAATATATATATACCTACTACACGTTAAAACGTAACTAGGGACGAACCTGAGTGGAGCGAGTTTTTCACCAATAGACAGAGGAAATTTCTAGGAAGGTAAATAAGCTATTAGTAATGAGCATTTTGATGTTGATGATATTTTTTCTCCTGAGAGCTTCCGTATTATTATAAATGGGCAAAGGGCGTCTACGGTCATTAGTTTTATAAAGAATATGATAATTTTTTAATCTTGAATAGTTATACCTATTTAACATAACGAGATAATACAGAATGTGTTGCTATAGAGCAATTACATCATAGCATACAAACTTGACTGCTACGAGTATAAACCTACTATAGGCATGTATTTAGAATACAATAAACTAATGTTAAAAAGAGGATATTTCTTTTACCTAAAAATATTCTATATTTTTTCCAAATAAGAAAAATGGCAGAAAATATTTTGTTCTACAATATTTTTATTTATCTACTCTAAAATTATAGGAGGTAATAATTATATTAATTATTTTTTTTGTACTTATTCAGTAAAAATTTACCCGTAGCGTTGCTTTACCGGCGTGCTCTGTCTAAATGATTTAAAATAATAAAGAAGTAAAGAAGTATGGCTGAAAGACACGAATAGTAGGGACGTCTCTAATTATAGTATTATATGATATGTGCTCTAATATAGCTTTTTATATATTACCTGCATTCATAGTATTTGTCACACTGCTCAGCATCCGCAAAGAAGCCGTCTTCGGGACAAGAGTTTGTGATTTCTGCATCGCGTTCTGCATCAGCGGCGGGGCGGGGCGGCGGGTTAGCTGGTTTTCTCTTAGAATTCTTTGGTGACGCTGATGACGCCAACACTGAAATAAAGGAATTATGTTATTTATTAGTAATTTTACTATTTGGTTTTATTTTATATCTATACTAATATTATAAAGAGGTAAAGTTTATGAGTTTGTGTACAGTTGTGTGTGAACTGATTTAAATGAAATTCGGTAAGAAGATAGCTTGAGACCCTGGGAAGGACATAGGATATTTTTTATCCTGGAAATCATCCCTTAAGCGTGTGAAAATGAGAATGAAAGTTTGTTTGGGTAATCAAGCTAGGAGGGTGAGTCGCTAGTTACTTGTATAAATATACGTTGCGTGAAAAATATAGGTAATTTAAGTACCATTAAATAAAAATTCTAGAGCTATCACTAAACGATTTTTTAATCTGGAAACACTAGAAAATAAATTAAATTTACATGTTAAGTAAAAAAATACTAACATTAGAATTTCGTTTTTCAATGTTAAATTTAATAAATAATTAAATACTTTACTTTCAAATTCCTTCACAGCTAATATTGATAACATTCATGATGAGCAAAATTAATATTTTATTATTCGAAGATTCACATCATACTTCGCTTATTATTCCAACATTGACATTGAATTAAAATACAATAGCGTAGCATAGAAGAAACATTAAGTAAATATATTATAATTTGTATATATATATATAAATATATATATATATAGTTTGTTATAGACATTTCCTATGAAATACATTTATGCATGTACTCCAGTGGTTTGCATTGAGTTGAGCCAGACTTCCTACTCAAGATACTAAAGGCCGTTCAAGGCTGTTCTCTTTCTTTTCGACATATTGACTTCTAAAAATATTTGTAGATTTAAACTCTAAGTAAGTTCAATAAATGTCAAATACATACATATATTGAACTTATGTGGCCTTTAAATAATGTTAATCGGTTTGGGATTCCACTGCAATATACATAATATGACATTTCAATGCCAATCTATTTAGTTAATTTCCAAAATATTTTACTGATATCTTTTAATCGTAATATTTTAACAGTTTAATCTAATATATAAATATCTCGTGTCACAGTGTTTGTGGTGAATAGATCTTAAAGTACTTTTCACTCTCCTGCCCCCATCCCTATTTTTTATCGGGATTTTAGTATTTTTGTATGAACAATATTATATAAGTACCTACATAAGACGAACCCGAGCGAAGCGAGGGTGAGTCTCTTCATAACAAAGCCAAAGAGTTTTTTTGTTGATTGAACGCGGCTGTAGCCGCGGGTTCTGCTAGTAAATTATAAGAAGTAATTTTACGTCATCGTAATAAAAAAAGTGAGTTATGACATCAAAGTCTTAATATAGTTATAGTACACTTTCACAACCTACAAATTTTAGAATGTTCTAGCTTAATGCCTTATGCTTTCTCCCTGCTTCATTAAAAAAATTAAATATCAGCACTTTTACTTAGAGATAAATTTAATGACATCTAAAAATATGAAATCATTAAAATAAACATTTACAATAGGTTTTGAAGAATAAAATTTAATAGGGCTAAAATAATAAGAACCTATTGTTAATTTTTTTTTGTTTGGAAAGACGTTGACCTCATAACCTTAACCTGATTTTATATATTTATGACGTCACATCCGGTATGGTATAAGCAGTAATAGTTGCTAAAAGCAAACAAAGACGTGTGAAGCAATATTGCGTGTTTCTCCATTACCTAACCGAACCAAAAGTTAAGGTTGTGCCAAAATTCGACCACATCGACACAAGGATTCGGCTAAGTATAGATAAATAAATTGTAATCTAAAATTTAAGTATTTATTATTGAGATTTATCTATATGACATTATTATATAACTTAAAATATAAGATTATGTTACTATATTACTTTAGCGATAACCCTTAAGAAAACTTACTGACCTTATTGATAAGGAACGTCAATAACAGGAAATATTGAATTGATTGAAATTATAGTAAATAACATTAAACATATTTGTTTCCTTCCGATAATCTAATATAATTGATTAATTGATAAAAGCCTAACCATGCCGATCTGTATAAATTAATTTTAAATGAATTTTATATATAGGCCAAAGTGATATTGTACGACTTCGATGACCTTATCAATCGATTGCTTTTAGTTTTGAATGTAATTGCAGAAATTTCATTACTGAAACAAACAGAATATTACACATTTGTCAACTCTATTGTTTTATTCCCTTCGTGTGCCTTCAGCCTTACATCTATTTAGCCTTCAAAGAACATTACCACACCTTTGAATTACATCTACTTTCATTAATAATATTTAAAAGTATTCGTAATCAGATAACGAAATTTTTATCAACTTAATTAAATATTTTTACGATAAATCCAATTATTCACTTCCTTTATGACTTCATAATATAATCTGTTTTTAAAGTAGTATTTTAACTATAGTAACTATATTATTGCATAATTTATACATAGTTATTATAATATATTTTGACAGAATATTTGAATATTAAAACTAGACTCGAACCGGTGTTATCATTATAGAACTCAAGGTCAGATGATGATATACCAACTAATATCTCTCAATAATTTTCAATAATTAAAGCATACTATTCTGTCACGAATACATAAATCGATACATGCGATATAAAAAGAAGCGAGTAACAGTACAATGAAAAACACAATTGAAATGCAGAATACAAATTGAACCTAACGGCATAAACATTCCAATACGAAACTTACCAACTAGACACGCCAAAAACACCACTCCTATAGACCTGAACGCCATCTTGTGAACCTTTGAATAACTTCTAAAGGTCTATAATCTGTATTCAAACACTGAATATGTCAAGTTATCGATGATTCTCTCACTACGTTCTCTAGCGCACTGACAATAACACTTTTTGTCCTCCGTTCTTACCTGCTGATCGCTTAGCGAAAGGTTACATTATCCACCCGTCTCCCTCCCACTTATATATATTTATATATTTTCATACTACTCACTCATGAGTTCTGAGAACATTTGGATCCTGTTATAGTACGTGTTCTGCAAGAAAATTATCATTAGAGCTCAAATAATACTCACCTAATCGTTACTAATCGATTTTTTTTATTAAAATTAAGATTTTTTTACATACTTATTGAATAGTAGCATTGTTTAGCAAAATGAAGCTAATAAAGCATAATGAGGTTACACAACTGCAGGAATGTGGGTCATATTTACCAAGAATTAGTCTAATTACTAGAAAGGTTGCTTAATTTTGCAGACATTGCTGATTCATATATTTCTATAGTAACTTAGTGCTAATAAAAATATATACTGTACTATTATAAAGTACAATAATATGAAGAAGAAGAAGGCAGTGGCAGCCCAGTGGTATCGCGCTAGCTTGGGAAACCAAGTGAAGCGAGTTTAAATCCCGGGTCACGCACCTCCAATATTTTCATGTGCCAATCATTTCCAACATGAATACCACTTGTCTTAACGGTGAACCTGAAACCTGCATGTCTGAGATAACCTAGCAAGTTTTCAAGAGGCATATGAAGTCCGCCAAACCGCGCTTGGCCAGCGTGGTGGACGAGGGCCTGATTCCCCTCGTACTTAAACGAGGCCCGTGCCCAGCAGTGGGACGTTAAAAAGGGCTAAATACATATTATTACTAAAAAATAACAATATAATAATATATAACTTTTTTTTCACTAACTATAATAACTGTATTTGAATAAAAATAATTTGATAAAATAAAAGCATAATTTATTTGTTTTATTAAAATGCAATTTTGCTTTATTCAATTTATTATACAATAGATTTTGTACATATATATATACTATGCATACTACTTAGATACTGATTATTTTAGAGGTTTTGCCACATTAAGCAAAACCTTTGTTTCCATATCAAATAGCAATTTTAAATTCTCAAAGCTCTAAGAAAAATATTTTAATACGTTTGACTGCTACATTAGACATCAACGCGTTTTTGTATTAAACGCATCATACTCATTAATCATCATATTTTAAAAAAATCTATATGGTATTATTATTATATTTTAATTGTTGAGAACATGTATAATGTAATCTTTTGTTTATATTTTGGCATTAATTATTTTCTACGAAAACGTAAGTAAATACGTTTTCTATTAGTATTTATTACTTACTAACGACTCACCCTCGCTCCACTCGGGTTCGTACCTACGTTTTAAGGTTAGTATAAATCTCTCAAAGATGAGATACTTTCCCGCAGTAAAAATTATCTTATATGTTGACCCGAATAACCAGCTATCACCATACCAAATTTCATCAAAATTTGACCAGTGGTTTTCTTGTGGTTACGTCATAAGCAGACAGACCGACAAAAATTCTAAAAACTATAAATTCGGCCTCTGAATCGATAATAATGACTATTTCAGTAAGATTTTCCAAAAAATATTTAATATACAGATTCGACTCAGAATTTTATTGTATGTATAGACTTTTTAAATTAAGATAAATTGAATATTTATTTACTGTACAATGTGTGTGTTTCACATGGATATAAATTCTTACATATACGAGTATCTTATATAAATATTTTACATTTTTCTATCGACTCCACATTTTTTTTTACGTTTCTCTTTGTAAATATTGCATTATTCTGCTATAAATATATTCGCCTAAGTAGTGTGACAATATCTTCTAAACAAATAAAAAGTTATGCGAATCATGTAAATATCGCTTTCTTTATGCACTTGCGCTAGAAAGTACATCTCGCGCAACGTTCATTTCACAGCATCGTTTATATGACTTTCAATTTGATATTTATATCCATCATCACAGGTCTGTGAAAGTATTTTTTTTTTAGTTTTTTTAACTGTAAATATTTGTTTTAATTATCCTAAAAGTAATATAAAACTGTATTCGTATAATAAAAATACTATATCACGTCGAAATAGTAAGTCGAAAAAAATAAAAATAAAATAATTTTAATATTATTCTTTAAAATTGTATTTAGCCTATAATTTTTAAAATAAAGTAAAAAGCTGTAAATTGAAATGAAGCAAAGAAGATAAAAAATTGAAAGGCTAGAGGTGTTGAGAGGTGTGCACTGATTTCACCATCACGGGAGTCCTCGTGAGTGTGTTTCCCTGTTATTACATAAATTGAATTAAGTTTTTATTAGTTTTTGACTAATAAGCATGGATATGATTTTTAAGGTACCACAAATTAACCATTTGTATTGGATGCATTTTAGTTTGAATTTAAATGGATACTACGTCAATCAATATCTCACGCTCCTGCGTAGCGCTCCACCACCCTAGAGATAATGTCTATGTGAGATAAAATCTTGTCTGTGGTGTTGCGGAGAAACATGATAACTCCACTTTTGTCGAATTTTAGTTAGTTACTGCAGAAACATTAAAAATTTGCAAATTTTATTTTTGCTTAACCCTGGTAACTCTAAATACAATGGCTATATTTTCTTAAATTGTTTAAATAGGTCACAATATCGGTCCGTAAAAAATCAAATCTTTAAATTTTTAATTAAAGTGTCATACTGTAAAAAATGTTTTATTTGTATTATGTTTATCCCCGACACTACAGATATGCATATTAAGATAGATTGTTTGATAGCGGAACCTATCATACAGACTGTTTTTCCGACTTGGTATTGGAACCCAGGAAATTCCAGCAATGAGTAGCGCTATTTAAACAGCTATCTCACTACAACACAGCATTGTCAGGTTAATTTAGATAATATAAGCAATGAATTACAAAACAAACATTGTTAAACCTTAAATAAAATAAACGGAGTGCTAACTAGACATTGTAAATAAATTAAAGGATTAATTAAAATAGTTTCGTAGGCGTCAGTGTGAGTCCAGACTACTAAGTAATTAAGCAAACGTGTTATTGGACCCACGCGCCTACAATACGAATGTGCATAGCTATTGAAGTTAGCAAACATAAAAACGCTTTTAGTTACATAACATACTAGCGGCTCACCCTCGCTACGCTCAGGTTCATCACTAGCAAAACAAAAACAAACCTATCCCACGGGAACCGTACATTTTTCCGGGATTAAAAGTAGCCTATGTTTTATTCCAGACTATAATTTATCTCTGTGCCAAACTTCATCCAGATCCGTTTAGAAGTTCTGGCGTGAAAGAGCAACAAACATCCATACATCCATACAAACTTCACATTTATAATATTAGTATGGATTAGTATGGATTATGTTAAAATACTGCAAAATATAATAGTTTTATTGTGATCAGAATTTACAATTAAAAATTTGTTGTTAGTAAAAATTTTACTTATTATTCGTCCTCCTCCATATTGAAAATCGGTTAAAAAAATTAAATGTTTAAGAACAGCTGGACCAATTAGGCGAAATTTTATTTTAAAAAGCTTATAAATTCTGAATAAGATTTTAGGGGGAAATCAGGAAATTCGGTAAAAAACTGAAAATGATTTTTGTCTATAAAATTTTTGTATGTACTCAGAGATTACAAAGATCGCAATTTGGATAGAACAATATATTCTCGCATCATTTTAGGGTTCCATAGCCAACAAGCAAAAGCGGAACGTTTTCTACCTCTTCTTCTCGAATCGTGTCCGTTTGTCTGACTGTCTGTCCTAACGTCACAACCATATGTAACCGACTTCCAAAAAGGAGGAGGTTCTCAATTCGTCGGAATCTTTTTTTTTGTGTATGTTCACCGATTACTCGAAGATGCCTGAAACGATTTGGAAGATTTAATATATGATTATCTAAAAGGTAAATATGTATTTTACTTATAGAAATATATTACATTTGCTTTGCATCGGCTGGCACCGACTTCGAAAATATCTCATTCTAAATGGAAACCTCCGTTTGGTTATTTTTCACATTTTAGTGCCTGGAAGTCGATTTTTTTTTAAAAGTTTTTATACTTAGAGACTATTAGTCCCATATGGCTGTAATTTGGAATGTAAATGCAACGTATGTACTGCTATATTATAATGGTGTATAATTTTTTAATAAAAAGTAGGGTGGTATATCACACATGTAACTGAGAGGCGAAATAAAATATAAAATCACATAAATGTGTATCTTCGGTTAGGTTTTTAGAAATGATAAAAAAAAATCTACACACTTACTTTATTATAGTTAATAGTTACGGAGCTTACGCTTATAAAGTTGGAAAAATTGCAAATTGCAAAATCAACTTTGTTTTTCATAGTATGACATACAAACATGTTCTTAAGGCCGCTAAATATTTTATTTAAGTCGTAATGTAACAAATAACGTAAAATATAAAAACGTTGGTACGGAACCCTCAGTATTGTATACACTAACTATAATAATATTTCCTCTTGTTGGTTATTGTGTAGAAGATAATGCACAAAGAACATATTTATGATTCAATCTTCCTAATTATTAATAATAATTTTATAAAATTTAATGTAAAAAAATACGATCGCATTTAAAAATTCATGTAATTGATTTTTATCAGTTTAAAACAAGACATCATGCTTATAAATACATAATTCCTATAGGTACTACGATATTTTTTAATTGTAAAATTGTTATAGGCACACCACATAAGAAAAAGTAACAGGTCTCTGCCATGTATTCAGTCTTTTTTGAAATCCCTAGGCACAGGGCAGCCTTCTATATGAAGCGATTCAGACCATAGTCCACCAAGCTGGCCAAGTGCGGCTTAGCGGACTTCAGGTTGATAAGTTCTCTCAAGCATGTAAGTTTTCTCACGAGGTTTTTCCTTCCCCGTTTCTTTGATATAAGCTCTAGAAATGCTAGTAAAAAAATTTAAATAGTTTTTATAAGAGCTTTTTCTCACTCTCTAAAAGGGAAGGCTGTAACTACAGCACTTAATACTATGATAACAGCCCACCTTTTTTTTCTTCATAGACCAATATCTTAAAAAAATATTAATAAAATTACCAAAACACATACTTCTTAATTTTCCGTACCTATAAATAGAGTTTTAGAGCATATTAAGGGATCTGCCGTTATAATTAGTTATACACTAGTGCCTGGGTTAAAGTGACACTATTTGTCTTTAGCAGAATGACACAAACATTTATATTACACTAGCAGTACCCGCGGCTCCGCCCGCATCCAAACTTTCCATTGCTAACAAAATTCACAGGATCACCCGCTGGGCTAATCAGACGATTCCCTAAAAATTTAATCAAAATCGCTCCAGCTGTTTTGGAGTCCATAGGAAACATACATACACACATCGATTTTTATTTTATTTAATCAACAATTTAAATTTATTTATTAGAAAATGGAGTCTTTTATGAAAATTTAGTGACACGCCGACTGCAACGCCACCAACAGGGTCCATTTGTGTTTTCAAACCATGCAGGAACGCATTGAAATATACACACAAAATTTCATCCAAAATCGGTCTAGTCCTTTAGGAGGAGTAGGTTAACAAACACACGTACAGAAGAACTATATATATTAAGATATACCAATACAATAAAATATTAGCGGAGAACGAACCGTACCCAGTGCTACTCTACACATGTTACATTGTACCATAATAATTTTCTTTTTCTAAATAAAAACCATGACATTGAGATACTTACTAAACTTTTGATCGTTCGTAAAATTACCAGATAATACCAAACAAATTCAAAATAGACTAGTACTTAAAATATTTCCTTTGAAAGGATTTGATTGACATTACACGGTACAAGTAAGGAAGCATCGGATGGGGATCAAGATGAGGCATTGAATAATGTATCGTACGGGACTCCTCAGATGCTATCTGCAGTAGGTACCTGTCTGAACAGTGATGCATAGGCGCATTTAGATCGTATGATTCAAACATGCCGCTACAGCCTTACACGTTTCTTATGGTGAATTAAATTTTATTTTTCACAGCGTTATATCTGATTCGTTTTACTACAGCCCTTTCGTTGCTTTACATATCGCTTTATCTATTATATATTATTGTTCTTCTAAGTAAAATATCTTCTCAAAGTGTTTTTATCAATCGTTGAATTGGATGATAAATAATACATTATATGCACGAGTATTATTTGCCATGGAATTTTCTACAAGGTCCCTCGAGGTGCTGATAATTCGTATTATAATAAAAGAAGAGAACACAATTTATTTATAAATAAATTGTAAAAGACTTTTAAGTCATTTATGAGATAAATTATTATAGAAATTCAAAGGATAAAATTCTAGGTACTTTCCCGGTAATATAAAAGTGCCTTTTAGGTACTTTCCCAATAACTTGTAAATACGATGATTTAAGCTCAATTATTAATATTAAAGTTCTTTTTATATATAGCAAATACCTGAAGAAGATATATATAATGTGTGTAGATATCAATATATTCGTATTCTTAAAAAAGTAATGGTTACAGGTTTTATATTAACAAAACTTTCTGAATGTAAAATAAAATAATATATTTTATTTAAATTCAACAGACATTAACATATACTAAAAACTGAACTGGTAAAATAAACAATAAAGGTAATAACCAATAAAGATTTTTAATCAGCAATATATTGAGAGACAAAGTGAAACAAGCATACCCTTTTAGGACCTATGGCGCTTGCAACATATCCCACGTACGTATACTTAGTACTTGTTTTGAACATGCGATGCTATAAAAGCTAGGATGTAGCTATATCCCTGACATTGCCCTTGTAGTCTCACTAGATACTGGAAGGATGAGGATTCTGCTTGTAGTAGCTTTCGTGGCGGCGGTGTGTGGCGTACAATGTGCTAGCCAGTTTTTGGGCAAACTTGAAAAGAGTAATAGGCAGAAAAGACTCCTTTGTAAGTATTAGTATTTTATTTTCTAATTTAATTCGTTACATTAGTAAAATTCCTAAATTTATTTATTAAATTAATACATAATTAAATAAATAAAATTTAAAATCAATTAATTATTATTATCCATTATTTTATTTTCGTGAACTATTTTATATAGTTTTTTGTCATAATAACATAAATTAAAAGCGCCGAAGAAAATAAAAAAAGTTGACCTGTTTAGGTCAACGTCGTTCAAATATTTTATAATTAAATTACCGCAGGCTACACGAAGCTTATAACTCAAGTAATTTAATCTTTCATACAATTTTAATACATACATATATCCTTCCCGGACGCTGACCGCAAGCTTTCATGTTAACAAAGATATATTGCTTCGTAATGAACGGGGTAGGCTGCTTTATGACTAGATAATCTATTTCCAATTCCGTTGCGTATAATTTCTGTCTTCATCATAACAGAACAACATATCAGATTACACCAGGATAAAATTAAATATAATGAGATGATTTTATTATTATAGCGTGTTACAAATTGGTATCACTTATGTGATACCAATTAATTTTATTTTTTATTAAAATTATTAATATTTTATTTAAAATTAAAAAATATTTAATTATTTAAAAAAACTTTAACTGAATTGAATTTTATTAATTTTAAAACTGTAAAATTTTAGTATATCTAATTTGTTCTAGTTTATGATGATCAAGGACATTTGATGAAAAACTTTGCAAATACTCTTTACCATGTTGGTCCAAAAACACAGGAAAATTTATTTCAATGGAGCTTTTTAAATACATATCTAAACCCTATTTTTGTAAGTATCCATCTTATATTGACTTAACCATAAAACATTATAGGTACATTTGTTATACTACAAGTATAATATTTTTCTAGCCAAATTTAGGACGGACTTCAATCGCGTACATGGTTCCAGTATCTGACGCAGTTGTCCAACAAATCAACAAAGATCCTATATACCAGAACAAGCATTTATACCTAACATATCTAGACCCCATAGTTGAGGCTAATCCTCTTTGCAATGGAAAACGAACTCAGATTCCTTCATCAAACTTATGTAATAACTACGTGAATTGCTGGGATGGCTGGGGCTTCGAACAGGAATGTCCACCCGGTCTGTTGTTTTCAACTGATGGATTCTGCGATTACCCTATGAATGTTAATTGCCACAATAGGAAGTTAAAGAGTAAGTACCTTTTTAAACTATATTTCTATAATAACATATAAAGCTTAAGAGATTTTTTATGTTCGTTTAAGTGTGCTGATCTCTGGAATTACCAGGTCAATCAAAAAATTATTTATTGCAATTTAAAAATCTATAATGCATGGTTATTGGATCGAACAATGAGGTATGGAGCCACGGGCAAAAGTATACTATATACTAATTACTATATACTAATTTTCGATTCGATTTCGATTGATTTCGATTCAATTCGGTGGTGTAGTGGCTAGCATGTACGGCTGCACACCCGGAGGTCCTGGGTTCGAGTCCCGGGTCGGGCCAAGTTTAGTTATTCAGTCTTTCTGTATAATAAGTCTCAGTAACAGCCTGGAGTTGGGAAGTTGGCGGTGTTTCACCCCCGTGCCTCGGAGAGCACGTAAAGCCGTCGGCCCTGCGCCTTAACTCTCACCGGTCGTGTCGAGTGGTCGTTCCACCGGAGTATGAGAGTGATAGGAATAGAGAGTGCATGTGTCTGCGCGTACAATGAGATTGGCCGCCGTAGCCGGAATCGGCTAGGAGAACATCATCATCACTAATTTTATAACCTACTATATTGGTTAAAATAATGTAAATTATGCCCAAATGTACATAAAAGTTAAGTCGCAGCAACACATTACACACTTTCATTTCAGTTTTTTTTTATTTTTATTAAAAAAAATATTTCGCCCAAAATTTAAATAAAATGATATTTATTAAGAATTTTCGGATCAATAAAATCAATTATGACGATCATGTTTAAAACGTTATAAAATGAAATATGTCTTACTATCATCATGCGTATATCATACAAAGTGTATACAGTTTTAACACATTTATTTGTACAGTCTTTGTGTAGAAAACAAAAATATTTTACACATTGTTTTTAAGAATAATATGTATAGATTAAATAACCATCAAAAATAAGGGGAATAATTTTGGACTACCTGTAGTAATACATACATCCACTTTTTAATTACAACTATTCAGTCTTCGAGTTAATAGCGTGTGATGGCTCATAATGACTTGATCATAAACATTTTATTAAAAAAGCTACAGACCTGATCTGCCTACCTTGCACCTTTAATAATTTTAAAAAGTACAAATGTACGTTTATTTATGTATTAACTACCATAAAATTTTGCCTTTTGCTTAAAATTGTCAATTTAAACGTATGAAGTTCGTCACAAAGACGAATGTTTTATTGCTTTAACTTTTAACTCAATATGAACCCTGAACTAATTCTAAAACTTAGAACTAAAACTTATTTTCTATAGACTCATCTCATCTTAAAATACAGTATATTGTCATATTTCTTAAGTATTTGCGATTAGTTCTAGTTTTAAAATTATTAAATTTATTTACGTACTGAACAGAAAATAGCACCTTTGTAGGATTACTTTTCTGCTGATGTCTGTTTCCCTATTTTGAGAATTCCTTCAACTAATAAAATATACTGAATCCTCCTTCACACGAGTCCGGCTCACATTTAATCAATTATTTTGTAAGCTTTCTTCTAGATCCTGCTTCTCATTGAAGCTTGAATATAAACTACATTTTGTATATCAAACATTAAATCTATTTATATTCGTACATATGTTCATATTAGGTAATGCTCACTTATGTTATGATGACGCTGTTACACTTTAAATGGATCACGATATCCATATATGTAATTTAACGATAGTATCTTTAAATACTTAAGTTTTTAGAGTCTTTAAACTTACTTAACTTTGTAGATTAAAAAAAAATAAAGTAACAGCTGGACACAGGCTTATAAAACGTGACATTTTCTTTACAAAATTAAAGTGTAATTACTTACACGTAGCTTCAATTAATTTAAGTAAAATTTATTCAATTTGATAATATTCAATTTTATTAGAATTGGATATTAAATTATGTACATTACTATTATAAAGAGGAAAGATTTGAACCGATTTAGATGAAATTTTGTCAGAAGATAGTTTGAGACCCTGGTAAGGATATAGGATATTTTTATTTCGAAAAACATCCCTTAAGAGGGTGAAAATGGGGATGAAAGTTTTTATGGGACGTCAACTTAGGAACGAACTCAAGCGAAGCGAGGGTGAGTCGCCAGTCATTTATAAAAATAATGTTTGAACGCGTAAGATAGCATTTTATTACAAATTATTTTGCTTCTACATAAAATTAACATTTAACTTCCCAATGCAAATAGCTATTAATATTTCCTAAATGTCACAAGCTACACACTTATTAAAATTGTGAAAATATTTATATTTATCTAATATTTTACATTTAACGGACTGCTACAAAAAACGCTTAGGGCATTCCTAGAAAAGTTGGGCTTATCCAACTTTTATAGTTGCAGTTTTTCGGCCCATAGATATTTTCTGTCATTTAACATAATAATGGAAATGTGCAAAATTTCCCAATTACTTGGGGTCGGCGCAGTGTATCTTTCGTGTTGCTCGTAGGCTGTTCAAATTTAAAAATATTTGGTACAAAGTATTTACGAATATATATTAAGCATTAACTAAAACACTCTACTGAAATAGGACACTCTGTTCAATAATATTATCTATAATCAGGTTTTTAATCTATTATAACCAAGTTCGTTCGTTCCTTTTTACTTTATACGTTACTTATCATATTATTTTTTAAATATTGATTATTTTTTAAATAATTTATCATCATGGCAAAATATATTTTATGTACTGTGTCCACCAGCTACTATTTTGGTTCAAAATATCCTTAGCTTTTAGCTGGACCGTTTGGGTAATGGGTATGAAACCCTAAGTAAAGCTATATATTTTATATTTTGTAATTATAATTTATTGTTTTCAAACACCAGATCCCAATCCGCTGTGTGACAATGATTTCCAAGCAACCGTGAACTCTGCTAATTGCAACGAGTTTTTCATATGCGTTAACAGCATTCCTGTGAGATTCAAGTGCCCTGGAGATTTAGCTTTTAGTGAAGTAAGTTCTTATTATATTATTATATTATGTATATAATGCATTAAAGCTCATTGTGCATACCTTACTCTTTACATAAAAATGAAGATGGATCGAAGTTTATACATTATTACAACATGACAAGTCAAATTTGGTTTAATCGCTTAGTAAGCATCAAATGACGAGGTCATTTGCCTTTCTAAACCAGTCACGGATAAATTTTCGAAACATATATGCTTTATTAATATTAAATTTCCCTCATTAGAGAGAACTTGGTAAAACTTCACTCTTTATGCCAATGTTGGCAAAGTAAGTTATGGCGACTAAAAACTTTATAAACTGAACTATAGCGACCCTTTATTTATATCAGAAAAAAATTACTTTATAATTTGGCTATTATAAGAATTCTTTAAGGAATCGAACCCAAACCTACAGACACAATAAACAATGTTCCTAATACAATTCAATACAGGAAGCCCAACTTCGCCACTCTAAAGTCATTCTTTTTATAATTTATGTTTGTATGGGTTTATTATTTTTTTTCAGAGATTAGGTGTATGCGATTTCCCTAGTAGAGTAGACTGTAACAGCACTAATGAGGCAACACTGTCACCATCTAATCCTCAAATTGTCCAACTATCTACACAAGCAAGTCCTGTAAATGCTCCGGTTACACCTGGACCCGTAGTACAAGGGGCTCCTATGGTAGGAGATAAAAATATGGCTATTAATAAATTGGAGTATAATACTCAAAGTAAGCAACTTTTTCATATATATTCTGAAGTATTACAAGTACTCTACATAAGTAACTTTTAATATATATATATATATATATATATATATATATATAATATATTCATTCTTATTTTATACTACCTACTTGTTTATAATTTACGCTTCAATTCTCACTACACCATGTGCCGAAAAACTCACTTCTATTTAGGGACAAAGTCATTCTAATCGCCAGTAAAATCTCATTTAAATCGGTTCAGCCGTTTCAAAGATTAGAAGATAGATAAGAAAAACTATGGTCGTTAAGGCTTTGTTATCGTTAAAATAAGACTGTTGGTATTCTTCCAACAATCAGATGATTAAAAAATAATTATTCGTAGGACTATAGCAGATTTGTCATGACGACACGCTTGGCTCAGTTTGTAGTGACCCTACATGCTGTGGCAGCGGTCGCGGGTTCGAGTCCCGCTGGGATTCTTTTTCTTATTCATTTGTGTGATAAGCACGAATATTTCTACTCCAGTCATGGGTGTTTATATTTATACTATGTATGTATTTAAAGTTATATATGTGTAGTGTATTAACTATCTGGTACCCATAACTGACAAGCCTCGTAGCTTACCATGGAACTAGATGGGTGTTATGTGTTAATGTCCCAACATAAAAAAAAATTGCCACTTTTGCCAGGATGAATAGGCACTTTGTTAACATAAATATGAGCTTGCTTCTGTAAAGTCATAGATAACTAACACTACCGTTCGGTCTATAGTTCTTAGATTTGAGTGTGCTAATTAAAGAAAAATAATATGATACTTATTTTAATATAGTTCTTAAGCTATTGGAACTATGATTCCTTCCAAGTACATTACAGGTCTCCGACTTATCAAAGTGAATGGAATTTGTTAAAATCCATTTCGTAATTTCCAAGTTCCAAGAAAAATTAACATATATTAATTAATTGTCAATATAATTTTTATAAATTACGCAATACTAAGCAAACAAGATCTTCAATCTTCGTTTATGTACTAAACCTTACCCAACCGAAATCATAGGTTTTGATTTCTTTTGAGAATTAACTTAAAAAAGAGGCCCTTATTTCAGACATTTTTTTGTGTATTATTTATATTACGGAATATCATCACCAATTGTAAAAAAAAATCAAAAATCTTTTTAGACAGACACGTTTTAAAAAAATCCAGGTGAAATAAATACTTTTTAAGTAATTTTATAGTTGATGTGGTATTTGCTAGAGCAAAGAGTGCTATACCTACCAAAAAAAGAGATCGATTAAATAAATTAAATTTAAGGAGAATAGATATTGCACAGATAATCATTATTTTGTATCATGTTTGACAGCTTGGTCATCTACACATATGGCCATTTCTCGTCAGGACGCCATCCGCCAACTCAAGCTTGGGTCCATTGATGAAGCTAGTGAGAAAAAATGATATCTTGCAATAGTTTCAAATACTTCATAAGAACTATTTTTATTCTAACTTTTGTGGCTAATTTTGTGCTAAACATTTTTATACAACACTCCAAAATAATTAAAAAATAAGTATTACATTGACAAATATGTATTAAATGTGTATTACATTATGTACTAAAATTATTTCTAAAAAATTTTATATATTTCATCAATCAGTATTATATAATAAAATAGAAAGATTTCTTTTATTACTTGTTTTTACCCCTCCAATTACCCTTAAATTTTTTTATTACGCTTATTCCTTGAGAACCTTAGTTTGACCTCTAATATACATGGTATTTTTTCAAATAAGCTAGTTTTATTTTTAAAATATCACTTTTATAGTATGGGTTTGAAAAATAAAATCAATGTTATTAAAAAAATCGAAATTTGATCACGACTTTATTTACATTTATTTATAAAAAATATTATCCTAAGCATTCTTACACTACGTTAAATGACTAAATTATTGTTTATTTCGACACAGCACCATCAAACAGATGGTACCATGTCAAAGTAACTGAAGTGACAGCTATCATTTTTTGGCAACAATTAAATTTTTCATTCACATGAACTTTAATTTTTTGACAAAAAAAATGTAATGAGTATATAGAACATACTTAAGACTTTTTAGTCTGCCTTATAAATTACTAATGTTCGAAGTCGAGCGTCTCTTCAGACAGACCGAAAATTTTAATACGAAAAATGAAATTCTAGAATGAGTTAGAGCCCCGAATTAGTTTTCTCGAGCATATTACTTAAAATATTTAATAAAGTATTCAATTTATAATATCTGAAGAGACATTCATTTTTTTAATAAATTGTAAGGATTAAGTTTTAGTCTGTCCTTTGAGTCGCTCCTCGACATTCAGAATCCCAACTTCTTGAGCGCCTTTAGGTCTACGTCACCGTAGTAATCTTCGCTGTAAAATAAAAATGTCTATTGTAGGGAATTGTAGCATTTTATCGAAAAATTGAATATGAAATTTCTTTAATATGAATTTACTGTTAAAATAGTAAGTAAAATAAAATAGTAAGTAAAATTATAAAAATAGTTAATTTAAACAAAAAACAATTAATAAAAAAACAAATAAAACATACCTCGAGTTACCAAAACTGTCACTTTGTTTTGGTGATACCAAAGTAAAAAGGCTTTCAGTTATAGACTAATAGTACTAAACATAGATTAAGAAAACAAGAAATTACTGAAAGAAATAAGATAGTATTATAATGTTATTAGAAAGTGTATGCAATAAAATAGGAAACAGAGTGAATGTGAAAGTAATGTTACTGGGAAACATCGTGCAAATTGTGCAAAATCTAGTAGATCGAAAATCACACAACAGGTTAATTTTTATATATTTTGTTTATTTTATCACTAAACATTAAACTTAAGTATTACAGTTTCTATATCAAACAACAACACTCAGTCGCAGCGAGATAATTTAGTATACATAAGTATTGTATATTTACAAGGTCGTGGCTTTAGAATTGGAATGTTGAATATATGTATCATGTCCTGTTCTATCGTTTCATACCTAATGTCAAGAAACATAAATGCAGACCGAAATTCATAAAGAATGATCTTTAACAAATTACTCGTACCTAACAGGACGGTACCAAATTTAAATAGAATATAAAATAAATACTACCGCTGTATGTTTTACTAACTTTCTAACCTGCTTTTTGAAACTGTTTAAGGCTACAACGAGAAACGTATTTGGCAAATGGATGAAATGAATACAAATCAATTGGCTTCACTCTCTTAATATACGAATTTGAACCTGAAATCGTGTTGCGCACACCAAAAGCAAAAATATGTACATTAAATTAAGCTCTGATAGAGCTGTCGTCAAATTGTAATTGCTTGTGATGTGTGAAACCTAGGTAAAGTAGTGAGTATTATAAGGTTAGGGTGGGAAGTGAATATTTAGTTTTCTTTTTGGGGACGTGGTTTGATCTTGGGCTGGACGGATTGAGACTGGCTGCTGTGGAGGCCGGCGAGCAGCTCGCTCTTGCGGATGCTCTTCAGGTCCAAATCACCATAGTAGTCCTCGCTGAAAATGTACGCTAACCTTACAACCTGATTCTACCGTCTAAATTATTTTATATACCTATAGCCTAACATTTGCACAAAGTCGTGTAAAAAGATTACAATTCCTAGCAACTTTTACTACTGATAAGTTGTGACTACGAAGTAGGTATCATTAATTGTGTAACAAGAACTCGTTCATAACATTAATATCGAGAGTGAACTAAACTGCCTTGAAATGGCAACAAGAATACTAAAACCTAACCATTCGCTTTACTTAAGAAATTCTTTTTATTATTTTAAAGAATTGGTTAGGTAAAATTCCAATATTCGACCTTTGTTTTTATTAATTTCTACCCGAGTAATTAAATCTATTTGAATGTAAAAATGCAAATTAACAAGTTTCGTTATAGTTTTGCAAGTTAGAATAATTTTAAGTTCAGTTATATCATAATACATTAGATGATCCAACGGTCATTATCATACTCAGTTACATACAAAAAGGCATTGACCAAGAAATATATGTGGATACAAGACGCGTTTATCAGGCATAGAATTTTCCTTAGTCACGTAAATTTCAAAGATGACCTAAATTTCTAATGACAAGCGTAGCTGACTGCGAGTTTCATAATTATCCCTTGGTATTTAGGTGGGCGAGCTTTTAATCTATATACATTATGTTTATATTTTACCTACATAGGAATATTTTGCATAAATCCAATATTATAAGTGCAGATGTTTGGTTAGTCACAAGGAAGATATTAAGTTAAGGGACCACAGATGTTATTGACTTATTAAACAGCACCAGTAGTCGACTAGTGAGTTTAGAAGTAAAGAGTCCAAGTTACTTAGTTAAGACTGTTTTACTTGAATAGAAGAATAGTAAGATTAGATAACTATAATGAATATGCTTACCATCCGGGAACATCTTCGGGGTCTTCGCAATTTCCAGTGCCGTCAGCATCACCGATCTTGAAGACGGTGCCGATTGGGCATCCGTATTCACGAGCTACTCCCTCGAGACAGATGTAGTATTTGCGGCAGTCTTCAGGATGAGCGTGACGGCTGAAAGATCCAGCATTGGCGACCTCACCAGGGCCGCAGTGGAAACCGTTTGCTACCTCTGAGAATATAAAATACAATATTTCATCAATTAACTTCAAATAGAACCAAATATTTTAAATAGTCTTGTAAAATTTAATTGTGGTTTGTTATTTTTTTTTTAATTTTAATAGTGAATTAAGCGTACCCTCATTCTTGCACTCTGGGACCTGGTCAGCCCACATGCACACGCGAGCCTCTCTGTCGTAAGCAAGTCCGGGGCTGCACTGGTAGCGGGAAGCTTCACCATTCCAACAGTTCCAGAAAACATCACACTTGGCTTCGTCAGGGAAGATACCGTACAGTCTTGAGCAGTGAGGAGTTGAAATTGGGGGCTCTAAATGTAGAAAAATAGGGTAAATGAATTACTTAGTTTTATCTCGCTAAGAAAAAAAGTTTCAATTTAAATATTTTTATGTATATGACACTCCTTCAAAGTTTATTTTACATTTATAAAAAGTTATAAAACATTGTTTAAACAAAAAATTAGGAAAATGTCAACTTGTCGAATCGAATAGGCATAGTAACACAGTGGCCTTCATCTACATCCTGGTGATACGCATAATTATCATATTAATCCTTTAACCTTGACCGCTAGTAATTTATGAGATATGCCTTTTACATATCGTTTGTATAGCAACATCCTTGCATAATTGTCTCGCAACACAAAAATAGCACCAAGTTGTGGCATTTCCGCATACTTTATAAACTTGTAAGGCTAATAATATGTTAATATTTTTTTAAATCCAATTAAATTATTTTTTAAATATTTGTATACTTTTAACGTTATTAATTTTAGCTTCAATTACTAGGTACTTACCAAGCTGTGTCCTTTCGCCGCACTCAACATTGTGGAGGTAATCACAGTTTTCAGTCAAGTATTTGGAGTCACTAGCATCGAAAGCGAGCCCGTTACCGCAGGTCTTCAATTCGGCTACTCCGTTGTCACATTTCCAGTATTTATCACAGGAGATGTGGTGAGGGTAGAAGCCGAAATCGTCAGGGCATTTGAAGGATTCTTGGGCGACCGCTAAACAAAAAATATAAAATAAATAATGTATGCAAAAACAAAAGTAAAAATTAGTAATAACGTTAGATAGTAAATATTATTGAAATAAAATGTGAACTTCCAAATAAACACCCACAAGGGTTTTGCAAAGAGATTATAACACGCAGTAGATTTTGCAATATACCGGTCTCGGACAGGGCCGCTCTTTCTCCACGGAATGCAACGCGACAAACCGTTGAGCAACGCAAGACTAGTATAAGTCACTAACCTACTCTTTGTTACTCATATTTAGGTACTAACTGATTATAAACACGTGGCACTTTGATTTGTTTCGGGTTATCTTATATGAGAGAATGATTTTGTAAAGATGTCCTTATATGTTCGACTTTAGAATGATCCAAAGAAGATTTTTATTGCTTTGTAATATTTATGTACTCAATGTAACATTTAGTAATTATCTAACTATCGTATATGTTCATATATATGTATATTGGTCATTAGTTATCTATATAAATAATTAATGACCCATATACGTACATATAAACATACGATATATGAACTAAGATTTTTTTACAACATATTCAAAAGTCTATGTATCAGAAGTGATTGATTTCGAAGAAGCTCGAACATGCCATATTAGGATTATACGCAGAAATCTCTACATTTGTATGTAATGTTATGTCATGTATGTCAATGATTTGGTACCTGTTGACATTTGCAACCAAGTGAGTACATCCTGGTCATTTCGTAATGCACTCTTTGAATGTTTATAGTATTGTAAAAAACTGACAACACGTAAATTTTTAATTGATTTTACGAAATATTTGAAATTTTACTCTATACAATCGTTTTCACAAAATGTTCCTTCTACCAAATATTGAAGCGTTTTAGTTTGTTATGATATCCTTCAGGTCTGTCCTGTTATATGTTTACTTTTTGACATTTTATTACGCTGAAATTAGCTTGTGACTAATAGATCTAATGATGAATCGATAAAAATCCGAACAAGTATGGTATTTTGTTTAATTCGCCAATAAAGAACAGGTAATTAATATAAAATTATATTGAAAGAGATTACAGAGGTTTTCGGTGTTTATGTTTTCATTGTTCAAGCTCATTCAAGTGAAAGCGTATCGCGACCTATATATCCAAGGTAAAATAATATATGTGTAAATCAGCAATGAGTATGCACATTAGAGCTTTGCGCAAGAGGTGCCGACACCCGGGCCCTGTGGGTCGCGCGTACACCCGCGGCGTGACATAATTACAGATCTGTACAAAACGTTGTATAACAGTGACAGGTTGTATTATTTGCATGTTTCCGTGGCACAAATGTTTCTTTGAGGTTAGATGTTTGTCTAATATTTCTGTGGTATTTTTCAGTTAGCTTTACATAGAATAAGATATTGATCCGGTTTTAAGTCTTCATGATAAAGTATCTACAAATAGTAAATTACTAAAATAAGTAGCTTCAAATTTAGTAAAATTAGTATTAAAGTATTATTATCTAACGTAAGAAATAATAATATTACATAAATTTACAGTCATTACGCAAGTATTATATAACATAAGTGACCTTTGTATTAAGTAATACAGGTGAAAGCCCAAAATCGAGCTGCCAAACCAGCCTAATGTAGGTGGAACTTTCCATTTCGTTAACATTGATGCGCCCGCGCATCTCGACATGATTGACCTTTAACCGTGTTTTAAATAACTTGACGCGTTATTTAAAATAACATTTATTTACATTAATTCCAGCAAAGAATATACTATCAAATTTTAATATATACGCAATATATTTGAAAAGACTAAGTTAGTGTTCTCACAAATAAAGCAATACGAAAATTATTTATGCTTAAATATATCCCAAAAATGTAGTTTATCTATTATATAGAGTTCATAAAACCTTATGTAATACCTAATATCTCAACAAAACTAGCACTGTGATTATGTACGAGTGAAAGTAAGTTATGTACAATGTATATAATTAGAAAAAATTCTATGTTATCATTTAAGACAAAACCAAGCATTATAAGGGTTTTCTTCAAGATGTTATTCATATCAACGAAACGCATTACTTATTTTTAATAGTCTGTTATTGAACATACTTTGAAGTTTAAATGAATGTATATATACTTTATATTTAAATTAACTGCTAAAACGCTAACAAAATGACAGAGCTGGTTAAGCAGTCATCACTATTCATAGCGATAGCAGACTTAATGTATCTCGCAACACTTACATCATCTAAAATTTAATTTTTCGCACGACTTCATTATAAGAACCACACCCAAGTTTCTCAATTTTAAATATTCCAAGAATGATACGAAAAGTTAATTTGAAATTACTTAAGTTTATATATGTATATGAAGGTAACCAATCGAATCTCGGTAATATTTGCGTAGGTTTACATGAAAGCAATGCAAGGTGGATCTGAAGAATAAAAACAATACAATGTAAGGGCCGCGCAAGTCTATTTATAACTGTGTCGAAGGACAGACAATCTCCGGATAGTTGTATACCGAGATGCTTTGTGATTGAACGTACTATTTATATTACATGACATACGAATGGTATCTATTTATTAGGCATTTGTAATCTAAGCCAAGTAACAAACAGATAGGTTATTAAAGGAAAATATTACTAAGAATTGAATCTTATTCAATATGAGGTAGGTATTTTAGTATCCTATATGATATCCTATATATATCACTTTAGCTTTAAGAAACTAATAACTATTTAGCTTTGCCGGATGACCGAGCCATATCTACTTCCACGTTGACCAAATATTAGACATTGATTTACAATTAACTTAAATGACCCCTTTTTTTTAACGTTGGGAAATGCATTTACGCACGACGTGTGGGACTCACCGGCGTAATAAAGCCAGTACTACCCACTAAAATACTTAAATGACCCCTACATGTATGCATAGGTCATAGATATAACATAGCTTACGGAAATGCATACAAGTATAAGCATTTCAATCTGAAATTACTCAGAAACAACCTTCAAATAAGAATAGGCGTATGAAGTATGTATTGTTGTTGGCCATGGACATTGTTAAAAAGATTTTTATGCGCAAAAGAATCAAACTTCCGTTCAATTGTTTTCCAGGAGAGGTGTTAATTGCCAACCATTTCTTGTAAAGCCAGCCTATGATTAAAAGAAACTGTCTAAGTTTTCAGACAATAGGTTAATCGAAAGCGTTTTACCGTATTTAAGATATAAGATTATGTGTTTAAATTACAGCCTCGTGCGTCTGCGCACTCAACCAGCAGATCATTTTCACCGAGTTTTCTTTCTTCTTGAGAAACTCACGCACGCACCCCGAGACTAATTGAATACCTTCACGCAATAATAACTTTATGAATATTTAATTGCAATAACAATTAAAATTTCACGATCAGTTTTATTTTTAAACGCAACAACTGAATTACTCCGATTTCTATGTATGTTTAGTAAGATCTACATTTATTTTTCATTCGAATAAGTTACTATACACAAAATTCTGAGTATTAAATTCAATTTGCTACGGTCTAATTACGCACCATATAGCAACAAATACGATTATTGCTAGAACTATAACTAATAAAAACTCTTACGCAAAATATACATATAGCAAGTTCGTGAGAACCGAGTACGTGCCAGAAATCACAAGTATCAAAAAACTCCATAACACTCAATGAAAGGAACAGCGTCCTGTCAAGACGTATATTCAAATTCTATTACCGTTTCATAATAACATATGCTGTATAAAGCAAGTTGTACAATTCAATGAATTGTATGTAACAAAGTGCATTGTGTCACATACTCTTATGTTACAAAAGAAAATAAAACAATAAGATTAACACATTGAAGCCTTTCAAAAAGTATTTTATGAAATAAAAAGCAATGCAATAATAAATAGTAGATGATGATGATGATAATGAAAAACCGTAATTTATTTTTTGTAAATACCCTCATGTTACAATTAATTATATTCTTTAAATTTCATAGACTTTTCGAGAATTTAAAAAATTAAGATTGTTGTTAAATTTATTGTTCATCACGACCGAATCTGCTTAATATTGTACTCACAGTTAATATTTCCATTACACATAAAAATGCTAGTTTCATAAAATTGCTATCACTACATAGTATAAAAAAAGTCCCTTCCCGCTGGCTGTTTGACCCTATGTATGCCTAGATCTATAAACTATGCAACGGATTTTGATGCGGTTTTTTAATACATAGAGTAATTCAAGAGAAAGGTTTATATGTATAATACATGCATATTATAGTAAAGAAAAGCCGAGAAATTCAAACATGTGTATTTCATACAAGCCGTTAAAACGTACCTAGAGATGAACCCGAGCGAAGAGAGGGTAAGTCGCTAGTTGATTAATTATATATTTAATGAATCATGGAATGTATTTGTAATACTGTATTTTGAGCCCTAAGACTTCATTCAGATTGAATATAATTACATACGTAGATCGACGCGTGCTCACTCCCACTGCATTATGCAATGTGGGTAGGTTAGAAAGCTAATGGGGACGTTTGCATTAATTGCCACATTCATTAGATAACATTAATTTTTTTCTGTTTTGGGCCCAATTTAAATAATACCTTAAATAATTTACGTAATTTTAAAACTTGGTGAAATTTAAGTTTGATATATAGATCCAACATGATAAATCAGCGAAAGTAAATTTAATTAAAAAAAATAAGTAATCGTATTCACTTTTTTTAATAAGTAGTATTTATATGAAAATATTATTTATTAACCATATTATACTTACTTTTCTAGTTTTATTCATTTTTCCCCAGATCATCGATTTTTACTCAGATCATCGAAGATCAGGCGGTGGTGCTTATGCAAAATGGATTTAAACTACGAAAGCTACGGCTAAATTTAAACTGTTACACGTTATACACAAAATATTGAGCAGTTATTATTAATAAATATTCTACCCTCTATTGGTTTAGAAATTTTCATAAAATGTAGTAGCCGTTAAATAATTTTTTTATTGGGAAAATTAAATATTTCTCGACTCAAATAGCGAACAGCAATTTCGATTCAGCACTTTTTGCTGCACAATGCAACGTGAAAAATCAATATCGATAACACAGCTTTCGATCGCATTCACCTTATCACACACAAGCACGCTTCGCCGCACCCTAAATATTTTAAATTGTACATACCCACGCCGAGGGCGGCTGCTAGCACTAATAAACACCGTGAATTCATGGTTAAACAATAGTCCTTGCACGGGAGTAGTGGACACTGTAACGTTCTAGCACACACTGCGGGCGGGTGAATGGGCGGTGGAGGCTTTTATATCGGGAAGCCGATCGCCGCGTACGCCGGAGAAAAGCGACGTCATCGACTCACCGCCGGCGCCCGCGCAGCCCGCTTCCCGTAACATCGGACCATCTATCCTGTGCACAAGACGTTTTTTACATTTTAATACTATTAAGTGTATAGACTTTTTGTAAGTTATATTTTAGATCGTGGGTGTTTTCAAAGTTTTTATTTTAATTAACAGCAGGTTTTATTTCACCGATAATATTTTCTTAAATGTCTACTTGTTTTTAACGTTTATTATTATCATATTTAATGTCACTTATATCTACATATATATACTATAATCGTTAAATTTAAAAAAAATATTTTACAATGGTTTTGAGTATACCCTACATTTTATTGCTTTTTTTTTCATTTATACCCGTGTAGATAATATCAAAACATGATTTATAAATGACCAATGAATTTACATGTACTTTATAAAATGCATCGCTTGTCCAGTGAAGGCGAAAGTTTTTTCTTATAATACGAGATAAATCATGTATGTCGTAAATATAATCATTGACCCTCAGATTAAAACCTTGATTGAAATATGGCAACTTGTTCTTAAAGGAAGAACCACCAAAGGAGTTTTTGCTACTATATCTAAATAAGAATCTATTGCTTTTTTGCACTGAATATATTTTAAATTGTAATAGCTTTTTTTACTATCTATATAATATGATAAGAAGTCTATGTAGGATTAGAAACGCGATATTTTAATTTCTAATTGTATAGAAGAAAAGACTTCAACGAGCTATCATTGTGTTCTTTATATAAAATAATATTATATATTACGTACTTATTTTTAAATGTAAATATATGATATTATATCATTCAATATTACATTTATTCTAAAATCATAAAATTATAAAAAAGGCTAAATTCATTCTATAAATATATAAATTTGCAATAAACATAACTTATAGGTTATGTTACTCAAATATTAAATTTATTCTGATTGCTTGACTCTTAGCCCGTCCAAATTGCAAAGTTCACGACCTCGATTAAAGATGCGCCGTCTATTAAAAACTGTAAATACATGCATGCAAATGCCGCAGATACTAAGAATATATCAAGAGCGATGACATTCTACTGTCACTTTTACTGACTACGTGATAGATTTTATCATATTTTATATGCACTTATATGAACGTTATAACAATGTTGTATTATAGCCAATTTCTAAAACATTTTTCTTGTATTATAAAATTTCCTTCTACTTTCTGTAATATAATTTATTATAAAAAATATCATATTTTATTTCTAATGTAGTACGATGTTATATATATATATATATATATATATATAAGTGTATATTCTGTAGGGTATACTGTATAAATGTTTATAATGAATTGGTTGAACTTGTATATACCTACATATTCTTATTTCAATATATGGCAATTGCACTAACATTTCTATGGCTTACCCTTCAGACATTTTGTGTCTTGTATATTACAATAAATCGTATAAAGAATGAATATGATTATCTAATATCGTATGAAGATGGACAGGGTTTTTTCCATATAAAATATTTTAGTCAGGCAGACTAAAATCTTTATATGAAAATAAATTTTTAATTGAATTGAGAAGAGGCCCGTGCCCAGCAGTGGGACGTTAAAAAGGCTGAATACATACAATACAAATTTTTAATCCTTAGAAACTAAACCTCACATCAAGAGCCTTTACTAAAATATGTTAATTAGTTCTTAAAAGATGATCCTCCTATGTAAATTACTATGGCATATCTAAATACACACAGCTAAACCACACGAAGGCGTGTCACTAGCCCACCATGAATTTAAAAAATATATCATAAAACACTACAGTTATGTAAACGTGTATTTAAGTTCAGCTTGACAATTACATAACCATATTTACCTCTAAAAGTAGGCGTTTTTATTTATATTCTATTATAATAGCAAATTCTCACGAATTACACAATCGGAACAAAAGCCTTACAAAATACGGAAGGAGATGAGATAGATGGATAGTGTACTATCAAAATATGAGATACAAGGCTATAAACTGTACATAATTAAAATCTTTTAAACTACACATTCGTAGGTTTGAAACAAATAAATTTTGTGTAGTAATTAATTATATGAGGAAGAATAAGTCATTATTATGTTTGGAGAAATCTGTAACCTTCTCAGTTGTTCGTAATTAACTCGAAAATATTACCTTATTATGTTTAGAAGTGAAAATAATATGTCTTAAACAATAGTAGAAAAATAATAGTAGTATCAAGATATTCCTAAAATTCTTTATGATTACTTTCAGATTTAAGATTTTAAAATATTTTCTTTTTACTAAACTTGTTTTATTGTTTTTTTATTTGAAATTTGTTTTTAAATAAGTTGTACATAATATTTTATTATTGTGAATCGTTGTTGAAAAAAAAACCATTATTAATATTAATAATATAGCTTTGAGTCAGTACATAAGTAACATTAGCGCATAACATGCTGTTTTAGTGAAACCTGTCGCTTAATGAATGACTTAATAATTAAGATAATCACGACATTAGACAATTGATTCAAAGAATGCGATAATATCGTAATAACACCACAAACGATAATTTAGAAATTAAGTAAGTTTATGGCTTATTATGAAATTGACATTTTTCAACATATACTTTTAGGAAAAGCCTTAAAAACATCTTTCATAAGCATTTTATGTGCTTTTCATAAAGCTTTATTTTATCATGTTGTTTAAGTATCTAACTTAAAAATATGGATCATAATATTTATCTTTTCAACTATTCTATATTTATGGTCACATTTTTTACATTATATCACAATTTTACTGCTTTAGTAATATTTTTAGGATATTTAATAGTGACAAAAATACTATTTCCATTTAAAGAAAATGTTATAAATTAACTTTATTCGTATATTTTTATTTTTAAGATTCTGCAAACTTACGAGTAATACATAATAGGCACTCCATATATATAAATAAGTTTTATGAGAATTAGATAAATCCTGGCAACTAATATAAAAGTTTTAAATAATTTTTGAAGAGATTAATTATAAGAAGTGTACTAGGGCAAGAAATAACTGATTTTCGCAGTATTATGACCCAAAACAAATATTTGTTCAGAGCGAGAACCCCATTTCAACACAAAACTCAATACTAACTATTCATGTGAGTACTAAACTAAACATTAAAATGTAAGTAGGGGCGAACCCGAGCGGAGCGAGAGTGAGTCCCTAGTTTTATTATAAAAAACAAAGAGAATTATTCAAATGCACCAATTAGCTCCAGATTTTAGTGTAGATTTTTTAGTATACATATATCATAAACTCATCTCAGTTTATTAAAATGAACGATATGCACAGACAAACAATAAGTAATAAACATATTGCGTACTTATACTTTTGTATATACATTTCCGGTCGAAATAAAATGATGTAAAAGTGGCACTAATTGCATCGCACTTTATCGGCGATGTCAATATAAGGAGAATAGTGTTTTATAGAGTACTTGAATAATATTATCAAGGTATTTGGGGCAGGGTCCGAATGAATCGGAGTCGTCAAACGTCCGCGCCCGGCCTGAAGGCCTGCAGGTTTCACGGTGGAGGCAAAGATTATAAATACAGGTGTTACAATTTAAATACTATATATTATGTAACATTAGATTTAAATTTTCGTATTTTATTATAACTACCATCTAACTTATTATGAGTCTAAAATCTATACATCGTCTAGTTTTTTAAGAGCTTTGTACTTTGTAATACCTTTCTCCCCTAAATTTCAAATTCCTAGTTTTATTCTTTTTTCTCAATATATAACAGGTAGAGTATACAAATGTATCCACAACAATAACTATAAAAAAATAGTGGCAAAAGTTTGATTATTTATACCGGATATACTTTTATCCACGAGGATGAAGTATTTTTTTATATATATATAGGATACTTGTTGATCCGATAGAGGTTGCCACTACTTTATTTTTGATCTTAAAAGGACCCCATAAAGACACAAAAACTTAATCGAAATCACCAACCCTTTCGAGCTCGAGTTAATTTAAAAGTAACAGCCAAGCCTATTAGAACAAGAATTATGAGCATCTGTACACCGGAATTCTATATATAAAGATTATTATTATATTGCAAGGAATCACTAAAGTAGCGTAGCTAAAATATTTCTATTAAACCTTTGGATTTAATATTTTCCACATTCTCAAAAAACTCTACAGTAGATATTAAAAAAAGAACCAATGAAAATACGACTTGATATGGGTATCCTAGGGCCCTTACAAAAAAAACTGCCTCGTCTATTTTCGTAATACCTATTATAGTATCCGGACTATTTTAGCCCACAACTCTCACAAGAAGTAAGTTCATCTGGTCCATTGCTGTTTAAGATGAGGATAACTATTACACACGAAGATTTTTACATAAGGATATTATACTTTTATAAGGATTACATAAGGATATTATACTAAATATATTTTTAACTAAACATTAACAATTTAGAAAAATACGTATAATCTATGTAAGTATTTATAAGTCACCAGCGTTTGTACTGCGGCGGCACTGGTATTCGCACTATGCGGAAGGTTGTAACTCGTAATATTTACCATTTAATATATTTGTCAACCGCCGACCTCAATGCGTTAGAAGTTGACCTGTTGATTCTTTGTTGGTACTCGAGAGAAATCTATTACTTCACAATTCAGAAGCAAACTATTCTAAATAAACATGTTCATACTGTAAAAACGAGTTTCTGCGAGATTGTGAATCACTTGTTCATGTAATGTGTGTAACAAGATTGCAGTAGTACGTTGTATGTTGATTAAATGTATTTTTAAATAATGTTCTATACATAATACATATTTATATTAATCAATACATACAATAAAATTGTAACTAAGCCGAATCTGTACATTAAATA